TTTGTCTCTTTTTCTCTCTCTCTATTCTTTATTCTTCCCTCTCTTCTCTCTCTCTCCTCTCTCCTCTCTCTCTCTCTCTCTCTCTCTCCACCCTTCTTTCTCCTCCTCTCTCTTTCTCTATAACCCTTCCTATTTTTTTGGTCTCTTTCCCTCTCTGACATTGTATTTCTCGAGCACACTGAGAAATGCATGCAAATAGCCTCCTCATACTCGCACTCTTTTCTCCATAAACAACAGTTCGTGTACATTATTATTAATACTAATTGGAATGGTGTGTGTTCTCCGACCATCTCTCTCTCTCTCTCTCTCTCTCTCTCTCTCTCTCTCTCTCTCTCTCTCTCTCTCTCTCTCTCTCTCTCTCTCTCTCTCTCTCTCTTTCTCTTCTCTCCTCTCCCTCCTTCCTCCTCCCTCTCTTTTTATTCTCCCTCCCTCCCCCTTTCTCTCTATTTACCCTTCTCTCCTCCTCCCTCCCCTCCCCCTCTCTCTTCCTTCTCTCTCCCCTCCTCTCTCTCTCTCTCTCTTCTCTCTCTCTCTCTCTCTCTCTCTCTCTCTCTCTCCTCTCTCTCTCTCTCTCTCTCTCTCTCTCTCTCTCTTCTCTCTCTTCTCTCTCTCTCTCTCTCTCTCTCTTCTCTCTCCTCTCTTATATATTATATATATAATATATATATGTATATATATATATATATATATATTATATATATAGTATATATAATTCACACACACACACACACACACACACACAAACACACACACACACACGCACACACATATGTATACATATATGTATGAAAATATCTCTTTTTCCTTCTGATCTTCTCCCTTGCTATCCTTTCCTCTCCTTCCCCTAGGGGGCATAGAGAACAGAATCATACCAAAAGTTGTGGTGATATATATTTTTTCTTCTTCTTTTTATGCAATACAAGGTCACTGTGTAGCCACGTGAGGTGTAGGTTCATGTGCAGGATCACCTAGACTTCAGTGGCAGAGAAGCCGGGAGCTGTGTGTGTGTGTGTGGGGGGGGGTGAATGTTTTGTGTGTGAATGGTGTGTCTCTCCTCCCCTCTTCCTCCAACCCCTTTCTCTCTCTCTCCTTCTTTCGCTTCCACTCGCTCTATTTCACCTCTTTCTTTCTCTCCGTCCTCTTCTTCTCTTCTTTCTGCTCTCTCTCTCTTCTTCCCATCCCTCTTCTCCTCTTTTCCTACCCTTTCTCTTCCCCTTCTCCCTCTCTTTTTCAATCTTTTCTTTCTCTCCTTCCTTCGATCCCTTTTCTTTCTTCCCCTCCTCCCACCGTTTCTTCCTAGATCCTCTCTTTTCATTCTCCTCTATTTCCTTTTCCCTTTCTCTCTCTTCCTTTCCACCATTTCTCTCTCTCCTTCTTCTTTTCCTCTCTTTTCTTTCCACCCTTTCTCTCTCTCGCTCCTTTCTTTCCATTCTCTCTCCTTTCCACCCTTTCTCTCTCTCCTTCCTTTCTTCCAAATCTCTCTTTCTCACCCTTTCTCTCTCTCCCTCCTTTCCACCCTTTCTCTCTCTCCTTCCTTTTTTTTTTCCTTTTTCACTTTCCTTTCCACCTTTTCTCTCTCCTTTTTTCTTCCTCCCTTTTTCCTCTTCCATCTCTCTTTCCTACTTCCACTCTTTCTCTCTCCTCCCTTTCTTCTCCCTTCCTTTCTTTCCTCTTCCCCTTTCTCCTCTCTCCTTCCCTCTCTTCCTCTCTTTCTTTCAACTTTTCCTTTTTCCTTTTCACCCTCTCTCTTCCTTTCTTTCTTTTCCCTCTATTTCCTTTCCCGCCTTTCTCTCTCTTCTCTTCTTCTCCTCTCTCTTTTCCACCCTTTCTCCCTCTCCTTCCTTTCTTTTCCCTCTCTTTCTTTTCCACCTTTTCTCTCTCTCCTTCCTTTCTTCACCCTCTCTCTCTTTTCCACCCTTTCTCTCTCTCCTTCCTTTCTTTTCCCTCTCTCTTTTCCACCTTTCTCTCATCTCCTTCCTTCTTTTCCCTCTTCTTTTTTTCCACCCTTTCTCCCTCCCTTTCCACCCCTCCCCCTCAGCTCAATCTCCATCCCTGACAACAATTATCGATCCTCTCGCGCTTGCCACCTGAGTCCCCCTGAGCGAGTGCTGATCTGTGTCTCAGCCTCGAGATCGACGCTCATTACGTTCCTCTGTGCGATGTGTTGCGAGGCGTCGGTTGCCGTTCGACGTTCCCGAGGCGTTTGGGCTTGCAGTGCGTTGGGCGGGGGGGGGGGGGGGCGTGAAGGTAATGACAGCTATAGAGGGTGCGGTGCGCTGGGTGTGGTGCGGTGTTGTTACTGTTGAGGGAGGGAGGGCTTGAGGGGAGGGAGGGGGATGCGGTTATAACTAGTTGAGGGGGGGAGGGGGCGTTTGCATATGGCTGAATTGAGTAGGGTAGGGAGAGACAGATAGGTTAAACGGCCATTTTTTACGAGTATTATATATATATATTATATTATATATATATATATATATATATATATATATATATATATTAT